AAAACTTAAAACAAAAAATTTTTTATTTGTTAATCTGTTTAGAAAAAATCAAAATAAATTGATTTATCAAAAAAAAAAAAAAAATTTCGGTTCTTATTCGGTTCTTCGGTTCTTGGTCTAGAACCGAGAACCGAACCAAACCCATCGGTTCTTGATTCAAATACCCGTTCGGGTTTTAGATTTAGGAAAACCCGTTCGGTTCGGTTCGGTTCGGTTCGGTTCCGGTTCGGTTCGGTTCGGACATTTTGCCCAGCCCTATGTGTAGATACGCTGTCATTTCGTCCATCAGAGAGAGAATTACTCGTCGGTTAAAATTATAATCTAATTCATTTAAGCTTACATTAAGCTTGATGGTTTACTAATTGCATCTAAAATTCCAACCTTTTTGTAGATTGTTTAAGTAGGGGAGGAATTGGAAGATGAAAATGAAGTTTTGGGGAAAAAGATGATGTGGGGTGGGGTGGGGTGGAAAATAAAGTTTTAAATGTTTGGGATCGCGGGTGGTACATAATATAATTTGTAAAAAAATAAAAAATTTGAATACTAAAATTGCAATTATTACTTTTTTAGTTTTGACATTTTTACTGTTTTTAACTGTAAATTTGATGGTAGAAAGTTTTTCGCACAAAATGTTTCAAATATGGGGGATTTTCTGCGATTTTCGATAGATAGTGAGGTATACCGCAAATGAAAACGTTTCTAAAGAGTTTTCTGCTACTAATTTTAATTTTTACCTCCAATTCCATGGGTTGTGACATGGGCCCTGTACATGCGGCGCCACTCGTGGTATAGGGCCCATGCAACAACTTTGTTCCCAATTCCATTCCTTGAACTCCAATGAATTATTTTTTCTTGGATCCTTAAACTTTTACAATTTTATGTTTTGGTCAAGTTTAAGAACACTGAACAAACATGTATAAATTGAATCTCTCTCAAACCTTATGACCAAACAGTGTTCATCAATTTTGTTATTAAAGCCAAAGTACAATACATTTCTATTCAAATTATTGAAAGGATGTTATGTTTATCGAGAAGCGATATTCACCAAATAAAATTTAACTTTCTTTATCACACAATCATGAATCTTGAGACAAGCAACTTGAGCGACCCCTTTGCGTGTACACTTTTAAAGAAAATTTCATATTTATTTATAATATATTAAATATCATATCAACTGAGAATAATTTTCTTAAACGATTTTAACATTACTATAATTCAATTATTTCAATAATAAATTAATTTTCATTTTTCGATATATATTTAATTATTTAGTTACTATCAATGTAAATGTACATTTGACAGATTCATTTCACATGTATGTTTTTTTTATGGATGAATTCTCTATTATTAATTTTCAATTAATTAATATTCATATTCATTTAATTAATTAATACTCATACCCATTTATGCATTTCAGTGTTATTACTCATAATTATAAGTGAATTAGAATTTCACATTCAATAATGTATTTCATTATTCACGTTCATGTATACTGATTAATATCTAGTTTTACTTAATTGAAAATTAAATAAATAATCTAACATTCATTGTCACACAGATATTTTCTGATATTAATTTTAAATTACTTGACATTTAGAAATATTCAAATATTACTCTTACCATTTATAACATTTAATAATAACATACAACACAATAATTTTCATAAAATGTAACATTATTCTTAGAAAATATTTTATGATTTTCTTTCCAAAATGAAATGAAGGTGGAGCGGGTAACATTATTCTTAGAGAATATTTTATAATTATATTTCAAAAAAGAAATGAAAGTGGAGCCCACTAATAATAGTTCAGACTCTCTGGGATGCTTCCAGATATTTCTCGTTTTCTCCGATATATTTGCTCTCTCAAATGTATTATCTCGAATTCTCTCAACTCGTCGATATAATTACACATTTACCCTTTCCCTGAACTATAAATACATCCATCTCCGTTCGGCCGGTAAGCAATCTTCATAACAAACCTTCAAGCAAAATCAATCATTAGTGTATTTTTGTTTTTTTTTACATAGAAATTACAAAACACCCTTCGAAAAAAGATCAGAAAATGTCTCTGATTCCAAGTGTTTTCAGCAGACGAAGCAACGTTTTCGACCCATTCTCTCTCGATGTTTGGGACCCTTTTCAGGATTGGCCTTTTAGTTCAGCCCTCTCCGCTCCAATGCGTTTAGACATTTCTAACGAGACATCTCAATTTGCCGCCACTCGGATTGACTGGAAGGAGACTCCGGAAGGCCACGTGTTCAAGGCTGATCTTCCGGGACTGAAGAAGGAGGAAGTTAAGATCGAAGTTGAGGAAGGGAATGTTTTGCAGATTAGTGGAGAGAGGAGCAGGGAGCAAGAGGAGAAGAATGATACTTGGCACCGTATGGAGAGGAGCTCCGGAAAATTCCTCCGCCGGTTCAGGCTGCCGGGAAATGCAAAGATGGATAAGATCAAAGCTAGCATGGAGAATGGGGTGCTAACTGTTACAGTTCCTAAAGAAGAGGTGAAGAAGCCTGAAGTTAAGGCCATCGATATTTCTGGCTGAAGTAAGATATTTTTCAAAAGATCGTCTTGTCTTTTATATGATGATGAGTGTGTTTGTATTGTGTAAGATATTCAACAAGTGAAGCAGTGGAAGGATTTCCAGTGTCCTCTTTCTTCTTTTTGTTGTTTTCTTGAGTCGTGTCGTGACTGAAACTATGATGTAACTTTGCCTGCTATAATATATTGTTTTCTTAATGCTTTGAATTACTTGTGAATGGTAATTACATTGAGAGTTGAGTTATTTGTTTAGATTATATAGTAAAAACCTGCAATTTCGTTAAAAGGTGGAGAGTTGCAATTATTTATAGAGTAATGCTATTCATCTCATCTGGAGATGAAAATACAGTCTACGTAACGTAAATGTGACATTAAATGATAGAAGAAATTAAATAAATCATTGAATTTCACTTTTTATTTAACCCATCATTTAATGTCACATAAATTGTGTTTTCATCCTCATTGAAGATGAATAAAATTACTCTTCTTTATAGAATTTTTTTGTGATCAAATGCTCTTGATTTACATAAAGATTGGTCAATTGATTTCATTTAAGTATGATATATTTGAATTCGAAAGAGCTAAATCAATTAATTTACAATAATTCGTTCGAGTAAACATAATTAATCAAAATTAGATGACTGAGATTAATGGGATGACTATAGTAAAATCGTAAATACTAACACTTTTATCATTAAAAAAATTCCTAAATTGTTTGCTAATTTTATTGTTTTAGTAAATTTATAGCTTTTAGGGTAATAATAAAAATACAATTAATTGTTTTTAATCAAATTATCGTAGTCATCTAATATATCTCTAATCCACATATGATCGCTATAGTAATCGCTCATTAGGAATAGTATTACTAGTAAAAATATGAGTTTATTCATAGGAAGCAACGATGTGAGAATCTTACGAGTTTAACTCAAGAAACATCATGACAATAATTGACGAACCATCTCTTGAAGAAATGTCGACAGATGAACAAGTAGTCTTGGATGACAACATTTGCATAATGGAGTCAAAATCTCAAAGGCATCAGTAACTTAAAAACAACCTCAAAAGTTAGGATAAGAATTTGTTTATAAAAATTCGCCCACAGCTATAGTACTGAAATAATAAGGTAGTAAAAATGAAGTAAAAAGAAAAAGAAAATGATAACATATTTACAAATTTTTTGTCTAAACAAGCACTTTAATCAATTAGGTTAGCTAATATAATAACAATTCTGCTGGGTGTACAGAAACACAACAGAAAAGACACAGCATGTGGGGCCCGTCATTTTTTGCAATATTTTATTAACAAGTGGGACCCACCTCCATGTGAGATTTCTGGTGCAACTCTTATGAACTCTTTCTGGTAGAATGACTTTTTTGATATAATTAACAAGTGGGACCCACCGTCATTGTGTCTCGTAAATTGTAAGTTCCAATGTTTCACTACTTCAATTATTCATATATAAAACGTGGAAAAATAATAAATGAGTGTTAAAAAAAAAAGAGTGTTTGTTCGAGTATGTCGAAGATGTTCCAGCTAAGCTAAAGAGTATTTTCTCTAAAATAATTTAAAGAGTAATTATACGAAAATAATTACATCAAGAGTAATTTAAAGAGTAATTATACATAGGTAAATGAATGTGGAGAAATAAGTAGTACTTATGAATCTTACGTAATGTACGATTAAAAAATTAATTTGACATAGATACAATAAGCCAAACATACAATTAATTTTATGTCTCAGTTTGACTGTCTTTTTTTTTGCTGAAAAACAATGTTGTCTATAGTAAAGTAGACCCTTGAGTGATGAAACGCGGTCTTACCACTTTCTTTGAGTTGTACAATTGATGATTTCTTTAATGCAAAATTCTTTGTTTTCAAAATTACCCTCAAAATTGTTTTGAACTGTAATTTGGAATTTTATTGTTGAAGGCATGAATGAAAAATCAACTTTGGCGTTACAAGTCTAGTACAAGAAAATTGCGGCATCAAGTGAGTGTTGAAAAAATTGAGAAAACTTTATCAATCATGCTATAAGTACAGAATTATTTAACAGAAAATCTTTACAGACAACACATGACACAGTGTCATTGGACGATGGGGAAAAAATCCAATCGCGCACTGCCACGTCAGTTTTGGTACAAATTCTGTAAAAATTTCCCCGTACTCACGGCTTTATCCAAACTTTATAGAAAAATTCTGCTTGTACAGAATT